TCAGCAGGAGGAGACCTTTTAAAATAGATAATACATCAGGAGGGGCAGCAGAGAAAATGACGCCTTCTAGCTGTCGCTTTGCATCCTACGTAGAACTAACACCCAACAGATTTTAATAAGGGTTTTTAGATCAGATTGGATCAGGCTAGCCTACTTCAGATAAGAATGCGGGCTGCGGTCTCCCCTGAATCTCTGCTGCTCCCCTTGGTTCGCACTGCGGGGGGGGGGCACCGTTTGCACACAGAAATGGACAGCGTACGCAGCGGAAGGCAATATATATTTCAGTATTTCTTTTAAAAATAGTTTTTAAAAAGTCCAGTAGCACCTTTAAGACGAACAAACTTTATGCTACAATAACGTTCGTTAGTCTTGAAGGTGCTACGGGACTTTCCCCTGTTTTGTAGCAACTATCTAACACCTCTGGATCTTTTAAAAATGCAATTCGATGCAGGAAGAAGGGGACGCTTTTCTTTCTTTCTTTCTTTCTTTCTTTCTTTCTTTCTTTCTTTCTGACTCGCGCACCTACTTTATGGATTTGGTAGCAGGAATTTTTTGATTTTTCAATTAAAACAGTCCTCGTTCTGTTTGCCTATTAAATCTCCAAGGAAGGGGGCGAGGGAGATACTCGCCTGTGCACAGGTATACCTGGCCTTTTCTAGCTTACTTTTAAGTCTGAGGGAAAGAAACTCCTCTTGGACCCCAGCTAAACGGGCCTTTGCCCAAGACTGGCGCAATCCTCGGCGTGGCGCAGTTTTCGGCGCAACGATTCCACTCTAAAACACTGATCTCAGTGCGTTTATACCGGAGTATAACTCTGCATAAATTCATCTTGTGAGTCTAATTCGCAGAACGAGGGTGAAAGAAACCACCAAGCCAGAAATAATGCTTCTTTTTAACACTCCTGGAAAGTGGACGAAATCATTATTTTTCTTCTCCTAGGCCGCCTTGAGAGCTTTCCTTCTGGCTGAAAGGCGACCTAGGGAGGCAACGGCTAATTGATTAATTAGCGCTTCCCGGAAATGATAAGTGAGCCAGCGCTTTGAATTCCCCGGAGCCCTACAATGCTGCAATATTCGGGGACGCTAATAAAGATCTACAACGTTACATTTCGGGTCGAGACTGTCAAGACTGAGGACCAGGCCGGCCTGCGCTTATGAGCGAATTCAAATGCGGACCCTTCTCCGGGAGGCGTTGTAGACCCAGGCCAAAGCTGCGCCTCGAAGTACCCTTATTCGGAAGCCTGTGGCAGGGGAACCGAGGCGACATCACTCTCCAGTAAAAATACTTTCCATAACAGACTGCTTAGGGGAAGAGTATGCCGTTGCTTGCAAATACTTTGGAAATACTTGAGAACCAGCCGCTGTATTGCAACGGAGCACGGCGTTCATAGGGACTGCGGGTCAATCATTTGTATATTCCAGATTGGGGGGGGGGGGAATGGGCATAGGGCTATAGCCACACTTGCAATATCAATGCACTCTGCATTTGCTAGAGGATTGAGTGACCCGTCCACCCTGGGAAATCTAAGTGTAAATTGTTATTATTATTAAAGTGTGCGTGCCCACGAAAGCTCATACTTTATCTTAAAGGTGCCGCTGGGCTCCAAATTTGTTCATAATATCCTACCATACGTGCAAAATAGCCAGTGATCTATCTATTTCCTTCCTTCCTTCCTTCCTTCCTTCCTTCCTTCCTTCCTTCCTTCCTTCCTTCCTTCCTTCCTTCCTTCCTTCCTCCTCCCCCCCCCTCAAGTCACCCATGACTTATGGCCACACAGTAGGGTGTTTCAAGGCAAGAGACATTCAGAGGTCTCCCTAACCCTACCCTGACCCCTGCTATTGCTTGGTGGGCTCCCTTCTGAATACCAACCAGGGCCGAGCCTGGTTAGCTTTTGAGATCTGATGAACTTGGGCTGGGCTATCCAGGTCAGGACATTCATCGGCAGTCTGGTCAGAGGATAAACCATCAATGGGACCAGCGTCCTCTTTCGCTAGATATAAGGTAAGCCGGATCCGTTTTATTCCGTCATCCACGAGCTACGGCTGGGGTTTTCCTTGGGGTTTCCAGATACAGCAGGCTAGGAATAAAATCAGCCTGCCTCACCCAACCTCTAACCCCTTGTCTGCAGAGACCCAGAGCGATGATCAACCGGTGGGCAACCCTGGCCAAACAAGAGATGCACAACAGGATCCACAGTTAGACCTTGGCAACAGCTGGAACAATTTGTCAGCAGACCGCATGTGGCAGTCTTGTGATGCTTGATGTCACAAGAATGAGAAACCTGTTGGAGAACAGGTCACTCTTCCAGGGCATTCAGTGGGTGACCTCAAAGTAGCTGTTTTATTGCAAAGAAACTTCAGGAACAGAATAGAAAGGGAAACTGCTGAGTTGCAAGTTATCACAACACTCAGAACAATGGAATCCCCAGGACTTAACAGGGATATTGGTTTCTTATCTCACTACATATGCTAACCTCATTCAGCCCTT